TCAGGAACTGGTTCCCTGATTGACCTCCTCCTAGCAATGGAGTCCAACAATGGCCCAGCTTTCATAGCCAAAACCTCTCTGTTAATGGCTAAAGTTTTAGACATAGATTGAAAACTTAATTGCATGTACAGACCTTAGAGTTTGGGGCAGGTATAAAAAAATAAACAGTATGTAAACAAACAAAAGAACACCTCTAACAAAGCTCTCATGAGAGTCCAGCAAAGGATGGATAGACCTTTCTTTGCTCTGCTTTGGGCCTGCTGCACCGCATATAGGGAAGGATTTACCACTATGAGACTATGAAGTCTTCCTCATAAGAAGACCCTCCCCACTTAAAGAGACCAGGCTCAGAGACCAGCAGTTGACGGAACTCTCAACTTTCTTAAGTCACTACAGGCACTCCGGCCCTCCATAACAGCTAGTCATTGAACTCTTCAAGAGAGCCAGCTGACGTCAGAGTCCACCACCAGTTTCCCCTTGAGTCAGGTGATACTGTTTAGGTTAGGCAGGGAGTCAAATGGGCACTGAAACCAACTTGGAAAGAACACTACACAGGGATTCTCTCTACTCCTATGGCAGTGAAGGTGGCTGGCATTATACCATGGATCTACCACACCCAGGTCAAGAAAGCAGAAACCACAGATGCTGCTGCCAAATGGCCTGTCTCTGGACTATGGACCCATTAAAATGAAAGTTTTTATTGAAGAAGTCTGAAAATTCCATAAAAAAAACTCTGGCCTTTGGGAAACAGGGAAAACCTGGGGAATCAGAGTCTATGGTGTAGGAAGGGACTATGAGGATGGAGTTAATGATTCCCAGCCAGAAGTCAGTCAGAATGGCTGGTTATGCTTAGACACCTGGTCCCTAAGACAGGAACTAATCAGCCTGTCAGTTCATTAACTGACAAAACTCAGTGTGGTGGGGGCAGCCCAAATTAAAGACAAGAGGACTTTAAAGGGGCTAACACCTGCCCAGTATCCAAAACCTTTAGCCTAGGCACTTCCCCTTATTCTAATGCCTGCTATTCTGCCCTGTGGGCTAACTAATCTGGACAACAGCAATACTACCAGGCTCCCAAGCCTACCTGGTGGGCATGCACTCATGGTTTAACTAAACATGCTTCTTTTGATGCTTTCCAAACTAAGCAGATGGTTGACCAGAACCTAGAGGTAGTAAAAGTTTCTGTTTCTTATTTACAACAACAGTTAGATTTCCTTGCAGGCATGGCCAACAAAATTGGAGAGACTGAGACTTCTCATGCGATAAAGGAAGCTATGTTTGGCTTTGGGAGAAACTTTTGTTTCTATGCTAACTGTTCAGGAGTAATTAGACAAAATCTTGCCACGGTTGGGGAAAAACCTCAAAAGACAAAGACATAAATCAGATAATTGATATCTTGGTCCCCCTTGACTAACTACTCTGCTAACAGCACTGACTGGGACTCTAATTCTCATTCTGGTTGGACTAATGGTGGGGCCCTACATTTTAAACTATATGGCCAATTATGTATCAATTTAGTAAAATTAATGGTCCTTAGGACCAACCACACCTCTGTAGAGCAGGATGAGTTAGACACCTGGTCCCTAGCACAGGAATATGACTAACTGAGACCAATGGGGAATGCAACAGGGCCCCAGACCTTAGTACAACTGACTCTATGATGGAAGTACCATTTAGACTATAGAACTCAGCACATAGACAGTACTGCTTGCCAAAATGAAAACAAAGATCTAATCCATCACAGTCTAATGTTTTCTCTATTTATTCCCGCCTTATATTTTTTGAGACAATTTCCCTTCCTGAGCCCAGAACTCACTGATTCAGATTGACTGGCTGGCCCATGAGCTGTGGGGTCCCATCCATCATGTCTGCCTAGGATTATATATTCTCAGTGCTGGAATTACACCTGTGTACCCCATGCAGGGCATTTAACATGAGAGCTCAAACTCAGTCTTTATGTTTGTGCTTTACACACTGAGCCATCTACTAAGACCCTAGAAAGTTTTCCTTGTTTTTGTTATCTTAAGATTTTTATATAAGTACCGCATGCTAACCAATTGTGCAACTGGAGCTCTTATCCTGACATTTTCATTTGACTGATTGATTTATCTGTTGTGTGCATGTATCATGTGTAAGCATGTATACAGCACAGCATGTATGTGGAGGTCAGAGGATAACTTGCAGGTGGTTCTCTCTTTATTCTATGTGGGGTCCTGGGGATCAAACTAAGGCCCATAGGCTTGGCAATGAGTGCCACCGCATGCAGAAGCATCCTGCCCCTAGTCCCTTCACCCCTGAAAAAAATTTAACTAAAGATATTGACAGTTAGTTTTCAAAAATGAAAACTGTTTTATGGCCAAAGTATAGAGGAGGGAAATAAAGAAAGAATATGGTTTAATCTTTCGATTTTGTACAAATAAATATATTGGTAGTCAAATGAAAAGAGGATTGAGTTGAGAGGTTGCTGGGTTCAGACTGCCATTTAACTGACTCATAAGATAAAATCTGTGTGAGGATGAAGAGCTTAGAGTGACCAGGAAAAGCATTCTAAAGTAAATCCCAGGGGAGAAGTGTGGTTGTTGGGTCCCCAGAACACACCAGACTGGATTCAATAATGAGAAAGGCTCAGCCATCCACTGTGTTCTATCCGAGGAGTCTTTGCTGAAATTTCCAAACCATGAGCCTTGTCTTGTGTAAGACTGCCATCGTACAGATTGCCATTTTCACACATATTGCCGACTTACTTAGATTACTATGGTATATAAACTGCCATTTTACACAGGTTGCCGACTTACTTAGATTACCATGGTATATAGACTGCCATTGCACAGACTTTACCTTACACAGATCACCACACACATAGATTATCTTGTGCACAGACTTTACCTTACATAGATCACCACACACATAGATTATCTTGTGCACAGACTTTACCTTACACAGATCACCACACACACAGATTACCATGTGCACAGACTTTACCTTACACAGATCACCACACACACAGATTACCATGTGCACAGACTTTACCTTACACAGATCACCACACCACACAGATTACCATCTACCCTACTACCTACTGAGTCACTTATCACAATGGGAAGATATAGATATAGGCATACATAAAATAAAACCCAGGATGTTAATATTTTGTGTTAAATGTAGGAAAAATTTTACAGTGATCATGACAATATGAATGTGTCATTTATCTATTTATTTACTTAAAAATTGAGACAGTGTCTCTTGCTACGGACACAGGGCTGACCTCCCCAAACTCACAGAAACCCCCCCTCCCTGTCTCTGCCTCCCAACTGCTGGGATTAAAGGTGTGTGTTGCCACATCCAGCCTGTGTCCACTGTTCAAATAAATAATTTACTTTATCAGGCAATCTGTCTTTATAATTCTAAGTTAAAACATGGATTGATTTTTCTCTTACAGTCTGAAGTTGGCAGGCATTGGCATTTTTGACAGTTTGTAAACAGAACTGGAGTATTTTAAGGAAGTTTCACTTAGTACCTCTCTGTGTTTGAATTATTAATCCTACACAAGGTGCTTCAGAGCTTGGGGATGTTCTGCTTGTTTGGTTTACCAGTGTATCGTCAGGCTCCCAAAATGTGTGAAAAGAGACAGATGCATAGACACACACATATTCCCCATCACAAATATTTAGGCACCTCTAAGTGGCACAAATTTTGTTGTTTTGCTTTTCATTTGGTAAAAGTGTCTCAATTATTCTAGGTTGGCTCCAAATTCACTATTTTGATCTTCTTGCTTCTGCTTCATGCATCACCATGTCTGGTTTAGGTCATGTTGGGACCTAAGCCCAGGGCTTCAGGCATGCAAGGCAAGTGCTCTTTCAAATTGAGCTACATCTTTAGGCCAAACAGGAGCAATTTTTTTTCAAACAGGAGCAATTTAAGGGAAATTCAGAAGAGACACTATGGCCATGGCAATTCTTATAAGGAAAACATTTAATTGGGGTGGCTCACTTATAATTTCAGAGGTTCTCTTCATTATCGTGGAAGGGAGCATGGTGGCGTGCAGGCAGGTGTGGTGCTGGAGCTGAGATTGCTACATCTTGCAGGCAACAGGAAGTTGCCTGACAGTCACACTGAGGGAAGCTTGAGTCAAGGAGACCTCAAAGCCCACCCCCACAGTGACATACTTCCTCCAATGAGGCCATACCTCCTAATAATGCCACCCCCTTTGAGCCATTTTCTTTCAAACCATCAACATGAGTTAAAACGACTATGAATGACATAGTGAGATTGTAAGTTGCACAGACTTAAAGATGACTATCTTTAAATTTAATAGTGCTTCTCCAAAATCAACGCCAGGGCTGAGGAGGTGGCTCAGTCATCAAAGTGCCATACTGTGCAGTCTTGAGGACCTGAGTTCAATCCCCAGAACCCACAGTAATTTCGGCCCTAGGGAAGCAGAGGCAGGTGGATCTCTGGAACCCATTTGCTGTCTAGCCAAAATGATGAACTTCAGGTTCCTGACACCCTCTTTCTCAAAAAAATACTGTGAAATGTGGTAGAAAACACCTGAGGTTGGCATCTGGTCTTCACACACATGGGTGTACATGCACCCTACATGAAGGCACATACACATGTTCACACACCCACCCAAGCACACACTGTCTGCATCCACACAGATGTAATATTAAACTCATTGTCCCTTTAAATGAAATGAAGCTTAGTTTCTGTGTGTGCATGAAAATCCCCTTGGATTTAAAGAATTCAGCAGATACCTCTGACTTCCTCAGTGAGCATTCTGCACTGAGAGCTGTGAGGGATGAGCTGCAGCTCTGTTCTTCTGCCAGACGGTGTAGCAGAAATACAGAGACGAGTGATCAGCCTGGGAGTATGGAGCTCACCCACCAGTATTTCATTGGGAATTGTAGGGTCTTGTCCCAAATCCAGAATTACTGTCAATCTGAGTCATGCATTGCTTCAGGTTGGGAGGCACCTTGTCACACAGCCACATGCCTACTTACTGGCTTCTTCTTTGACTTTATCCATTTCTGCCATTAGTGAAACTTCTTTGTCAATGATGCTGTGGAAAACAGAAACAAAAGGAACAAGAACTTATAAACTTTAACAGGCAATGGAAACACACCAAAAGGACTGTCATTAACCAAAATTACCCCAAATATTTTTGTGTGACAATGCCAGGAGAACACCCTGTCTCTAAAACAAGCAGCACGGAAGGGATGTCCCCAAGGATAACACAGTGACATCTGCTGATTAAATCACTGTCAACACATCTGAAAAGAAAAGGCCTTTCCGACTCCCAGAACTGCACGGCTTTGCCTTTAAATCTGGGTAAATTTTCTCCTTACACATTCCAAAGTTCCCAAACAAAAAAGGCTGGCACTTAAGTCACCAAGGACAGTTCCCAAATGTCTATGTTCTTGTTTCTGAGATTCTAGGTTAGTGGGAGGAAGGTAGGCCCAGGTCTGATGCAGTCAGTCCTAGGACTACCCTTGGACAAGCCTGCTCCTGGGTGCTGCCCCTGCCAGCTCTATAATACAAGTGTATACTTTCCCATCTTCCCAGCACAACAAGGTTCTGGTGAACTTATTCAATATAGTTCATTAATTAAAGCAATTACTCAAGTTTATTTCTCTCACCCCAGCCCCAAATTTCCCAGTTCCACTCTCAAAAGCAACAGAACATCACAAATACCTTCTGTATCTCTTCTCAGAGTTGTCTTTAAATCATAGACATGAGCTGTACTTTTAATTTTCATTTGGTCTTAAATTATTTATCATCTATCTATCTATCCATCCATCCAACCATCTATCTGTCATCTATCCATCCACCATAAACATACATACATCTGAAGTTTAAGGACTTTCTTACATCATAACCACAGTACTTTATCAATAGTTTAAAACTTTAGGTATCTACTCAGGTTTCTACATATTCAGGTTTCTACAGCTCTTCCCTAATTTTTCAGTAGTTGGTTTAAACCAGCATCTAAAATAGACTTGCTCTTGTAATTGGATGACTCTCTTAAATGTATTTTAATCTACCAGTTCCTTCTCATCTGCGTTCTCATTTCTTTTGCAATTTATTTGAAGGAACAAAGTTGTCCTCAAGAGTTATTCAAAGTCTGAATTTTGCTAATTACACTCTATGGCTTTATTAAACTGACTCTTTTTATACTTTCTATAAAGTTATTAGATGCAGATTGTTAAGATTCATGATTGAATTTTTCAGACATAGGATACTTTTTATAAAGTGTCATATCTTTGTGTGTGCTGACAGAATCATACAGTTAAAATATTCCTCCAGAAGACAGCTCTGACCTGAATTTCATCACCTAATGAAGACATTGCACTGAATACAAGACATTCTTTTTGTTATTAGTAGTAACCAACGTTGTTGCCTAGATCAACACAGTTTGTAGGGAATTCTGCTTTGTATGAGTCTTTCATTTATTTACTGAGGTCTTCCAGAAAGAGAAACTTCACTGATTGGGCTTAGCTCAGAGTTAGAGTGCTTGGTCAGCATGGCCACAGCTCTGGGTTTAATCCCCATGTTGTCCATCTCTCTGTCTCTCAGAGAGACAGACAGCGCACAGAGAGACAGAGACAGAGAGACAGACATGCACACAGACACGGGGTGGGGGAGGGAGGGAGACAGATTGAGATGATCAATTGTTTGATTATCATTAAATATAGTTTGTATAGGTAAAGTAGATGTTTGATTTTCTTTCTGTGAATAGGGTTTCAAGCTAGTTAGTCCTTTAGCATCCTCCAAAGGTGTCAATGGGTTTTTATTCTTGTTTATACTTCAATTATGAGTTCATGTAGTATGGATTTGAATGCATTGCAGTTATCATTAATTTAGGTTGTTCAATCATCTGTACTTGCAAATTTTACAGTGTTGAAAATTTTCTTCTTGGTTATTTGCAAAATTGGTCAAGGTAAGAATTGGTTTGTGAATGTATCTAACCATTTGGGACTCTGAACAAGATGATGAAACCTAAGACTTGGCGAGTGGTGAGTGTCTTCTGTGGAGCTCAGCTCCTTGCAAGCAGGAAATCCCAGTGGAAAGTGACATGTGTGGTGACAGGCTCTGAGCCCAGTCCCTCAACCATGGACAGCATCAGGAGTCCTCATGACACACATGGCTTAAGGTCATCGGGCTTGAGTGCTTTTATGTAACTTCTGTATCGTCCTAATTGACAATACATAGGTATGGTGACAGTGTCTTATGGGAAATGCCCAACACTGACAGGTTAAATGGATAGAAAGAAGTCTCTACCCCATCCCTGCCACAATTGGCTCAGTTCCTTTCACTGAAAGTCTTGACTGTCTCAAGTGTCTTATGTTTCTTTCAAGGTTCATCTCTGTACAAACCAGCATATATTGAGCAATATATAAAGTATCAGACTGTGTCATCAGCCTTTGGGTTCCAGTGATTACCAAGTAGATGTAACTTCTTTTGTCAAGTCTACAAATGCGGACATAATAGAGACAAGTGTGGTTTTGTTTGTGGTGCTTGTTTTAGTTTATAGTTTTACAACTTTCTTAGAGTAGGAACTTCCATTTTAGTTCAGGGAAACAAAGATTAAAGGATAAGCTGTCAGGGAGCTATGGTGAAACTAGAGCCAGGAGCTCAAACCACAAATAGTTAAACTACTCTGCCTGGAAATGTTTTGGTTTTTTATTCCCTACAGAAAGGGAGGAGAGAGAAGATTCAGAGAGAAGGCTGAGTACCAGGAGCAACCTCAAGGGTGGGGGAAGTCAAAAAGCCTCCATGAGCCAGGGCATTTCCTGTGTCACCTTAAGGGGTTGCTGTGGCCTTTCGCACAGCAGTGGGATGTCTGTATCATCTTAGGTTTGGTGTGGATAGCTGGAGTGAGCATGGGCACACACACAGGCGGGGCCTAGCACCTGAATCGATGTAGGGGTGAACAGATGGAAAGAGGCAGAATCTGAAGGCACAGCAAGTGAAAGAATTTAAAACCTACTTGCACCCCAAAACTCATGTATATCTTGAAATAGGCTTCAGGTTTCCACAGAACACAGAAAGGTCTGCCAGGAAATCTCATTTGGACCACGGGCTGTGCTATCCCAGCTGACTTATGGATTGATAGAATGATGGAGTCACGTGAGACTGGCCAGTGACTTGGGCTGCATGCTTGTCACAAGTAGAGTGACGCAGAGTTGCATAGGGTTTGGGATGCTGTTTAAAGATAGAGTGGAGAAAGAGAGAGAAAGAGAGAGAGAGAAAGAAAGGGAGAGAGAGAGAGAGAGAGAGAGAGAGAGAGAGAGAGAGAGAATTGGGAAGAGCCACAAAACAAGAATTCATCTGGTTGATATTATTTGCTAAGTACTTGCCATATGGCAGTCAAGGGTTTTGGAGAACAGCTATGGAAACAAAGAAAATGAAAAGCAGGGAGACAGAAGTGAGATAGAATAAAGATTTCTCTTATCATCATGGAATCTACATTATTTTTGCAGAGACGTGAAAGGAGCTGCAGGACTTGTCGAAAGGGAAAGACAAAGAGAAGATGGTGAGTGCCAGAAGGAAGATCTAGCAGACGTCTGAAGAGAACTGAAGGTTTTGAGACATACATGGCACACTTGACAAGGTTGGCCTGGCCTCAGGTGGTCAGCAGTTGGGAGAGGGGCAGACTATCACAGGAGGCCACTAAGCTCCACAAAGATACCTGCCCTTACCACCCCAATGCTTACGCAAAGAACAGCACCGGAAGTCATGAAGATTATGGGCTGCATGTGTTGGGCAGGGAGAATGTCATAGGGAAGAGGCTTTGCTAAGTGCTAAGTTCTTTACCAGCTCACGATCATGCTGAGTTTTTGTTGGTAGGATTTGTTAACATAATATTGTGTTCAGACAGTTTACAAGATGGGCACCGGTGGTATAATACATAGCCTCAGGTGGAACACATATTAAACAAAGCTGGATAGTCGCACAGTGGTTGGTTCAGACCTTCTGGGCTGGCAACAGGAGGGACGGAGGTTTACACAATAAACTCTTAATCTGCTTAATGCGCACACTTGGGGATGTGGAAAAGCCCATGAAGTTGGCATCAAACCATGCTTCTATTCCCATGGGTGTTTTAGCAAGGGAAGAAGGTCGTCTTTGTGTGTTTCAGCAATTCAGCACCTCTCTCTCTCTCTCTCTCTCTCTCTCTCTCTCTCTCTCTCTCTAAGACTGTTTTCAAACTCATGTTCAGAGGCAAGCCCAGAGTTTTAGCTCTGATTTGACAGAAGCATACCAAGCTCAGGATTCTGCATAAGGAGGGTCCATTTGACCATCCCCCAAGAATCTCATCACACTGGACCTGCAGTACCTGGGTTTGCTTCCAAGGCATTAGGCTTGGGGAGTGGAATTGGATGTGACAGATGAATTAGTACAGGCTAGTCTGTCCCTTGTAGGCTGCCAGACAGCAAGGAGCCAGCAACACATCATACTGAGCCCCAGACTAAGAGCAGGTCAAGATGGAATAGCCATGTCTACAGCCTTTCAAATGCCCTCAAAGCCTGGGTGTCCTAGTTAGCTTTGAGAATGATTTGATCAGGGCCATTTGCATGACTCAGTCTTCTCAGAAGGACAAGGTCAGGCATACACCAAAATGCTGCTGGTGACAACAACAGCAGGCTGGACAGGGACTAAGGGCATCTTGTCAGAACTCTGGCATGGAGTTATTACCACAGTCCTACTGCAAAGAAGTCACACTTGCTTTTGTGGTCCTCCTCTATAGGTAGACATCAGCTTGCAGTTGTTTCAAGGTGAGAGCCAGTGCTAACCAGTACAGAGTATTGATTGACTCAGCAAGGCCCACCAACTGGTGGGCCAGTGCCACACAGAACAATTTTACTGAAGCTTACCAAGATCTCAGGAGGCAGGAACTCTGCTAAAATTCCACTACAGAGCCTTGGGGGCATGCCCTCTGCCTCAAAGACAGTGTCCCACTTTCCTACCTAAACTCCTTTCTTCATCTAATGAACTTTCTTCAAATCTTTGCTTAACTGTGTCACGGCCTCAAAAACCTCTAATTGTCTTTTTAAAAGATTT